TTCAAAACACACACACACACACACACACCCACACACACACCCCTCACCCGAGCTTGTGCTCAGGTGTCAATTTCACCTGTCGATACCGTGCATGCTGATGACATAACACAAGCAGTTAATGTTTGTATCAAATAACGTTCCACTACCCCTTATTTTTCTAAGTTTTTGATATTTTCATATGTAAAAACACATTTTAGGGCATGTCTCAAAATTTATTCCCTCGGTCTACATTAGGTAGATGTTTCTTATAGTGATATTTGTTATTTAAATAACTGTAATACCTCTGATTTTTACATAAAAGTCAAAAAGCATTTTTCCAGCATTTCCGACAGTACTTTAGTCAGAGAATTGGTTCAAAATCTTGTTTTGCAGAAGCAAGGCTTCCCTTGGTATCTTTTTTTGTCAATCCTAAATGTTGAAAACATGTCATTTGGCTTCTTAACATGGAGACATAAATCATAATTTTTCCTTATCCTGACTCATGCTTAATTGCTTGTCTCCTTTTTCTCGCGAATGATAGGGGAACACTTGAATCCCCTTTTGAAGCTCCCTTAAAAAAAGCGGACGTAAAATCACTCACCCAGTGTTACCTCCCTTAGGTATTTTGGAGGCAAAATCTGTCACATGATCAAACACGCTCTTCACTCTCTCCTTCTTCACCCTAGAGGACGGTTGTGAGAGCGCCTGGGTCCCCAATACGGCACTGTATCCTGTTAATTTTAGGCCTTTACCACTAAATTAGCTGTATACGGCATTTTGGAAGATATACCAGCAATATGGTTTGAAATTTTTGTCTAAATTATCTGTTTATTCACGTTGTTGACATGATATTTCATCTTGTTTACAATTGATGAAATCTTGCATTCGTTGCAGGTTCAGGTTGTCGGTTGCTGATCCGCATTTATTATGTCCTAATTGCACTTCTACATGTTCTTCCAGCTTTCGCTGTCAACTTTGTCAGCATTTATCTGAAATTGAATTTAATAATTATTTATATTCCATTCTTAGACGTGCCAAGGACAGGTCAGACGGCTTTTACAAGTCATGTCTAAACCGAGTGATTGCGCTGATAACAATTTATTGCTGTCTGCTGACATTCACCATTCCAGTGATTTACCGGTGGCTACTACGGAGCATGTTGCTGTGGCAGATGGAAGCTCGAGCTCCAGGAAGAGGTCGTCAATGTCAGTAGTAGCCTCGTCGCAGTCTAAGAAGACCAGGGCATCGTCTTCTCAGAAAAAAGAAGTCGTCAGCAGATAAGACTTCGGTGATGTCTTCCTATGGGGCAGCGCAGAAGACGAGGTCCTTCGATGCAGAGATCATCCCTTCAGACGAAGTAGACGTGTATGACGAGCCACCCATCCTCATTCCTGAAGTAGCAGTTAAGAAGAAGACGAGATCTTCTACAGTGACGTCAGCAGTCATCTCAGCGCAGTCAGACGTTCTATCAACGCAGACATCAGATACCAGAGACGGCAGTTCTTCACAAGCACAGCGGTCCTTGGAAGAAGCCTCAGCACTCTCAGATGCGTCGTCATCTTTGCAGCAGCAGCAGCCGTCGTTGCAGAATTTCAACCCGGGTATCTTCATGCAGCAGTTTTTACTCAGCAGACGTTGAACCTGATGGAACGGAGGTTCGCGCAGGGGAAGGCTGCGGCGAAGGCCCCATCTACGACGAGCCTGCACGAAGGAAGCAGCCTGCAGATCGCATCCTGTTGAAGATGGTAGCCTGCGTGAAGGAGGGAACCTATGTGAAGGGTCACGCACTCGACGATTGTCCACGGCAACTTCCCGAGAACCTGCCAGCCCTGGCAACGATGAATCTGCAGTAGATGTTCCAGAGGAGCCTTCGCGCAGGAGCAGAACCAGATATTCATCAGAGCAATGCAGAAGCAGATCATCCTCGACCTCAGATACGGACAGCCATCAGGAGCCTGCGCGCAGGAACCCCGCATCCCGTAGAAGAGAATCTACACCTTCACAAAGGCACAGAGATACGTCTCAAGACTCCAGGGAGGATCCTTATCCGAACCGGTCACCTGCGCGCAGGTCTTCAGGAAGGTCTTCAGGCACATCTCCACGCAGATCGCCATGCAGATCTCTACGCAGGAAGAAGGAGTGGAATCTTCTAGACCTCAGCTTTCATCTGTTAAGCATAATAGACAACCTGAACATCGACATAAAAGCATGCCACATTGCCGGAGCCAAGAATGTGATAGCAGACGCCCTATCTCGTCGAACACAACCATCACCGACGGAATGGATGTTACATGTCCAGAAGCCTTCAGATGCATCATACAGAGGATAGGATCTCCGCTGATAGACCTGTTTGCTACAAAGTTCAACAAACAACTACCAACATTCGTCTCTCCGGTTCCGGCTACACAAGCATGGGCAACAGATGCTCTAAGCATCTCCTGGAAAGGACTAAACGCTTACGCGTTTCCACCTCCAGCTCTAATACCGCAGGTGTTGCAGAAAATCAAGCAGACGAAGAACCTGCAATTGATTTTGGTCGCGCCCTACTGGCCAGCGAGGGTGTGGTTTCCCATCCTCATACAAGAACTCGGAAGTCCAACCCCGCAACTCACAGAGTGGCCGAACCTACTAATTCATCCACACACCAAGCAAGCACACAGGACTCCAACAGTATTCCAGCTACACGCATTGAACGTATCAAGACTTGCTTGAAAAAAAGAAGATATTCTGCCAGAGCAGCGAAAGCAGTCACACTAGCTCTACGTAGATCAACCCGCAACTTGTACGACGACAAGTGGCAGAGTTTTGAGAAATATGCATTGAGGAAGGGCTTCACAGCGATGAAAGCAACACATCCTCAAGTGGCGGAATACCTTTGTCATCTAAGACAAACGAGGCGGTTAAAAAGTTCAACACTCTCTACATACCTAGCGGCTCTCAGCACTGTTATCACCATGAAGACGGGTGTTAAGCTGACCAAAGTACCAGAGATGCTGGCTCTACTACGCTCCTTTAAGTTGGAAGACCAACAAAAGAAATTTAAAGCGCCTGCTTGGGATCTCAACGTAGTCTTGCAGCATCTCACCAGTGACGCTTACGAACCACTAGAAAGGACATCCTATGAGTTGTTAAGACACAAAACTCTATTCCTGATCGCCTTGGCAACAGCAGCTCGGATGTCGGAAATACATGCTCTGGACTTTGAATGAATACGATTTGATGCACATCGCAATATCGTACATCTGGGATTGAGATGGGACTTCATAGCAAAGAACCAACTGCCCGGTCAACCAGACAGACAGCTCCACATCCCAGCACTCTCGCCAGTCCTTGGGCCACAGGTTACTCAGGACCTATCCTTATGCCCAGTCAGAGCATTGAAAGTCTACCTACAAAGGTCTAAGACGAGGAGACGAAAATTCAAGCGCCTTTTCATCCCTCTATCTACGGAGACGCCTACAGAGGTCTCACATACGACAATATCGATATGGATGAGAGCTGTCATCCCAAGAGCCTACAAAGCAGCAGGACTTGGGCCTCCAACCCTCATGAAGTCAGAGCGCTGGCATCGACACTTGCTGTACATGGAAACTGCTCCATCTCTACAATAATGGAGGGCTGCTTTTGGAAGTCGGAGACGGTGTTTGCCAACCACTACCTCAGAGACATTGCTACCGGGGACGTCTCCGGCATTCACCAGTTTGGGCCTCTTGTTGTAGCACAACACTTGACGGTTCCTCAAAGGCGCTGAGATGAATCTCACCCTTTTATCATGTGACTTGTAAAAGCCAACGCTCTGAAGAGCTAGAGCTTTAGAGTCCATGCGCACGTCTTGGACAGGCCAGCATGAGTGACAGACCCTGTACTTGTAAAGGACTTACTCGTACATGAAGAAGGGTAGCTTCTCCACTTGATGCGAGCATCAAGACATGGAGTTGTATAAATCCGCACATCATGTCAGGAGAAGACAGTTCCGTCGGATTCTACAAGCAATTAGGCATGAGTCAGGATAAGGAAAAATATGTAATTTTTTTATTAAAATTGATATTTTTATACTTATCCTGACTCATGAGGTCATACCTCCCAACCTCCCCTCATGGCACTCTGGATTCCCTGTAATCCGGGTGTTGGGCTTATATTCGGAGAGAGTGAAGAGCGTGTTTGATCATGTGACAGATTTTGCCACCAAAATACTTAAGGGAGGTAACACTGGGTGAGTGATTTTATGTCCGCTTTTTTTAAGGGAGCTTCAAAAGGGGATTCAAGTGTTCCACTATCATACGTAAGAAGAAGGAGACAAGCAATTAAGCATGAGTCAGGATAAGTATAAAATATCAATTTGAATAAAAAAATTACATTTTCAGATTTTGTCAGTATTTATCGGAATGTCTATGTTATTTATCCTTTGTGCTTACCTCATGAGTTCATTTGCCACTGAAACGTGTTATCTGTTGTATCATGACATCATGATTTTCCATGGTGATACCATTCCTGTGACACTTCACCTTACGAAAGAGGAGAGTACTTCTGAAAGTATTCTGTTGTACAATGTCAATAGTGCTGTTCCATATTAAACTTTTGGCAACCGAATACTGAATAATATGTGCAATTCTGAAAACACATAGCATCGATATTCTCTTCCATGGATTGTTGCTCATGTTATTTGGGCAGTCTAGGTACCAGAACCCCAAGTACTCGACCTGGTACCAAGTGCTTAATCATGTTAATATATGACCTTGGCCTTCAGTAACTCAAACTTGTCGTAAAGAGGCGACTAACGGGATCAGGTGGTCAAACTTGCTGACTTGGTTGACTCATGTCGTAGTATCCCCATAGTGTAGATCGATGCTCATGCTGTTGATCGCTAAATTGTCTGGTCCAGACTTGATTTTTTACAGACCGCCACCATATAGCTGGAATATTTTTTAGTGTGATGTTAAACAACAAACAAACAAAATTTGACTTAGGTCTTATGTTTTGACAAATATGTCAGACTGACTCCAGCTCTGTGTTTCAGGGGACCCTTGCACAATATCCTCGCAGATCGAGTTGACTGAGGCCATCAGACTGTATGACTTGAACAAGGACTCTGAGATCACCCTCCATGGTAAGGTCATAATGCTTTCTTTGGAAGATGTCCACATCATTTTTCAGATTTGTCGATATGTCAACAAGTCCCTAGCTACCTATGCTGATGGGGATGATTTCGGGACAGAACATGTCCCTAGCTATATATGCTGATGGGGTTGATTTCGGGACAGAACACGTCCAAAGCTACCTATGCTGATGGGGATGATTTTGGGACAGAACACGTCCACAGCTACCTATGCTGATGGGGGTGATTTCGGGACAGAACACGTCCAAAGCTACCTATGCTGATGGGGGTGATTTAAGGACAGAACACATCCCTAGCTATATATGCTGATGGGGGTGAGTTGGGGACAGAACACGTCCCGAGCTACTTAGGCTGATGGGGGTGATTTCGGGACAGAACACATCCCTAGCTATTTTGTATGTATTTCTTATCTTGGAATAGATGAAAATTGTGAACTGTATGTCTAGTTGTGTATCGTCTCTCATTTTACACACTTTGTCTTTTTTAAAATCAATATCTTTTCATGCCTCGATGGGTCTATGTTTTACATGAACCATTTGCATGTCACAAAATTTCAACCTTCATGTATTGACTTACCATGAATCTAATGCGAGTCAAATCAAGTTCCTTTAATCTCGCCCTGCTCTTGTTATTATTTTGGCTGACAAATTGCAAGGCATATTGACAGTGCATGCCATTTCAATTTTGTGTGATTTGGAAAATTAGAAAATAACCTTGTTTTTCTAAAATTTACCACTTGACCAAGCTACCAGGTTATCCATTACAGGGAACAAGTTCTTCTTTGACAATGACTCAGCTGTTAGCTGGCAACAAAATTAACAAATTCTTCCTTTTCACTCACTAATTCTGTGCCACATGTCGATTTAATTTTTTCCAAAAATTTGTTTCAGTATTCCCCAATGTTCCGGAGAGGCCAGGAATGCCATGTGCTGGGGAAGACCGTAAGTGATTGCTATTGTTCTCCATTTCCTGAGTCTGCTCTTAGTGCTAATCCAATGAAAGATGACATAATTGTAGTTTTAACCACAAGGCTAGGAGATAAACTGCTGAAAGGAAATAAAGGAATGTCTGTTGTTTTGTCTGTTATGACAAAAGTTAGTTTGAATAGAAATTATTTTCTTCAACTAGTTTGACAAGCATGCTTTGACACCTCAAGTCTAGGCATGTTTTTTGTTACTTTTTTTTTTTTAATCTTTCAAATTTAACACAGATTTTTGAATTTTTAAATTTAAAAACCTGTATTTTGAAGTGATCTCTGAAAGTATTGGTTCATGTGAAATAGAAATATAGTTAAAGCATTCACTTGTCATGCCGAAGACCCGGGTTCGATTCCCCACATGGGTACAATGTGTGAAGCCCATTTCTGGTGTCCCCCACAGTGATATTGCTGGAATATTGCTAAAAGCGGCGTAAAGCAATACTCACTCACTCATCACAGTGAAATAAGCTGTGTATATATCGAAACATTATTATAGTTCTTCTATTTCGGTTGGATGATCATAGAAGGAAATAAATAGCAAAACTATGTGTTTTTCTTTCTGATAAGTGAGAGCTTTCCATGATGGTAAGAATATTGATAGAACAATATGTGCTGTTAATACTTCTGGGAAATCAAGTTATGTTTGCGAAATAACGTCCTTCATCTCAAGTGTAGGTTACTCAAGGCCTTGTCTGGGTGATTTTCTTTTCAAATTTGTCTATATGGATTTCATTGTATGTATTTCCTCATCCGACATACTTTGAGGGAGATATAGTCACGGGAAAGTCAGTCAGGTTAACACTCTTACTCACCTTTTGCAAGTTTTAAGTACAGCTTATGTCGTATAAATTTGTTCACTGTTTGTCCATGTGCTCATCGGGTAGACTGATATCGACTCTGGAAAACAAGATATATGGAAGTGGAACTTTTTTGTTAACAATCCCAGCAATCTCTAAATAGATTTCCCAAATAAGGATTTAGGAGTGTTCATGTGTTTTTGTTGTTAGGAAACATGTACCGACGTGGAGCTCGGCGATGGAGGAAGCTGTACAGAGTTAACGGCCACCTCTTCCAGCCCAAACGCTTCTCCAGGGTAAGACAACTGAATAATACCACCTTATTTGATATTTTGTTTCCAAAGAATTATATTGCTTTTGTTAAAATTCACTGTTGGGCCTATTGGTTAAAGCATCCACTCGTCATATCCAAGATCTGGGGTGGGTGGGGGTGTTTAGCCAAGTGGTTAAAGCATCCGCTCGTTATGCCAAAGACCCGGCTTGATTCCCCACATGGGTACAATGTCTGAAGCGCATTTTTGGTGTAACCCCGCTGTGATATTGCTGGAATATTGCTAAAAGTGGTGTAAAACCATACTCACTCACTCACTCCAAGATCTGGGTTCAATTTCCAAACTGGATACAATGTGTGAAGGACCATTTCTGGTGTCCCCTGCCATGATGGAATATTCTTAAAAGCTACATAAAATCATACTCACTCACTAAACTTCACCATTTTGCATAACCTTCACTGTCAATATGCATGTAAAAAATAACAAATGTTTTATGACTGCATTCCTTCATCTCCCAAGATGTTGGGTTCAAATCTATGATCCACTCTGATTATGATCCATGTTTGGTCCGTTGATACCATATCCATGCCTTTGGTTTAAATTCATAATATCATTGTCCTGCAACCATGTGTTCAAGCACATTTTGAGATTTGAAGTATTTACCCACACTTAATGTTTCCTGTGAGTGATGCAACCGTTACTTGTGGATTTCCAGCTTGACTGAGTTGAACAGATGAAACTGAAACACTGAACATGACTTCCTCTATGTAATGATAACTAGTTGTTAGGTTAACTGTACCAATATGTAGTGTAGTATGCTGTGATACTGTATACAGATACTTGGAAGTGGGAGAGGATCTCTTCACACAAATGGGTGATATGATTGCCTGCTTTCATTACTCAGTATGTTCTTATTTGTTGAATCATGTATTTTTTCCAAAGTCATAAATTGGAATAGTGTGTTTTACACCGCACTCAGCCATATTCCAGCTATATGGTGGCGGTCTGTAAATAATCGAGTCTGGACCAGACAGTCCAGTGATCAACAGCAGAGCATCGATCTGCGCAATTGGGAACCGATGACATGTGTCAACCAAGTCAACGAGCCTGACCATGTGATTTGTTAGTTGCGTCTTACGACAAGCATGGGTTACTGAAGGCCAATATTCTAACACGGACCTTCACGGGTCCATAAATTGGAATAAGGATTACTACTTACACAATGGCTGCAGCCTAGATACCTTAAATTTTTAACTATTTGATTGTGAGTGTTTTTAATAAAAGAAATCACAGTGAAGGAAGCTGAAGTCTATGTCAAAGACAAGTCTAGATTTATTCAGACCACATTCATGGAGCAGGTCTCTGGTTTGGTCTTCAGTCATGTCATGCCGAAACATATGAAAAGATGAAACTTGTTAATACCCTGCGTGGTACTCAGCATTTTGGGGATGAAACACGGACTGGTTGTCTCAGATCATTATACTATGTCTGATTGTGGGTTATCCATGTTAATTTGTGTCTACACACCTACTCTCACCCTTATGCATGCACACACTGTCGACCATCTTCAATGTGATGTTGGGCGTTGGGGTAGCCTAGTGGTTAGCTTGTCATGTCGAAGACCCGGGTTCAATTCCCCACATGGGAACAATGTGTGAAGCCCATTTCTGGTGTCCCCAGCCGTGATATTGCTGGAATGTTGCTAAAAGCGGCGTAAAACTAAACTCACTCACTAAAAGTGGCGTATAACTAAACTCGCTCAATGTGATGTTAAACCCTACGTCACTTCAACTTAGTATCTTAAGCACAGAATCACTTATTGAATTTACCATGAATGTCAACTTGATAATTGTATTAGAGTAATGACAAAGTGACGTCATGGGCGAAAATACCCTATGTTTGAAAAATATCTGAAAAATATTTGACTCTTTTTGTAGGTTTGTATATGATATTGTTCAGTTTGTGATTGTTGCTTGCAGAAGGCGTTTTGCTCATTCTGTACAGACCGGATCTGGGGGCTGGGTCGTCAAGGTTTCAAGTGTATCCAGTGTAAACTCCTCGTGCATAAACGCTGCCACAAACTTGTAAAGAAAGCGTGTGGTGGGCCAGTGGTAAGTAAAACATCTTAAACAGCCTATTAGGCCGAAATGACATCACTGCTCAGTTATGATAAGTTTACCTCTTGTTATTTCCACCATTCTGAAAATGCACATCCTCATAAATAAGTTTTAGTCTTGTGGTTTTTCAAGAGAGTTATTTCCCCTGGTTTGGGACATACAACATCTGTGCGCATGCAGACTATGCATGTAGATTATTTTAAATGTTTTGTCCCAGTGAAATGAAAATGTACTTCATCATTACTGTGAGTAGTTGTCCACTAATTATATACTAATCTCTTGACGATATGGAGATTTTATCGGCCAATGTAGCAAATATAAGTTACCAGAGATAATTATTAAATAATGAACAATTTCATGCCAATTTTTGTTTTATTTATAACAATCTGTCTATGATTTGAACAAATGAAGCTGAGCATTTCATAGCAAATATAAATTATTAAAGATAATTATTAAATACTGAATAATTTCATACCATTTTTTGTTTTGTTTATGATAATCTGTCTATGATTTGAACAAATGAAGCTGAGAATTACATAGCAAATATAAATTGTCAAAGATTAATACAGTATTAAAAACTGAACAATTTTTCAACAGTTATTTCATTTTGTTTCCGAAATAAAATATGATATGCCTCAAATCAGTGTATGAAATAAGCCAAAAACCCAGCCAGACATCAGGGCTGGTAACCTCAAAATGTTACCAGCCCAAAATGGATTTAACCAGACCATATATGGTGAATTTACAGATATATGGAACATCTACAATTTTTACCAGACCATCGGGCTGGCTAGCTGTAAATTTAGACTGTCCGTCAGAAATCTAGACCGTCTCGGGCTGTCGGACGGGCCTTATTTCATACACTGCTCAAATATGTAATAAATGTCTGTATTCACAGGAGCCGTTACAGGGCCCAGCATACGACAGTGACAAGAGTAACAGCGGTGCTGGCAGCGGCATTGAAGAGAACGGCAACTCCCATCAGAACAATGTCTCAGGTGAGTGGAGCTACCTGTCTGTTGAACCCATCAGTTAACAGGGTCAGGACATGTGTCCCCTTTAATTATGTGGGAGGTGACTAATTGGACTTGATTATTTACGGACTGCAGAGTTGCATCCTTTAGTGAAGCAAGGATAAGCTTTAATATGTAGTTCCATGTCTTGTAAACACCAAGAAATGAGATGACAATGACAATACTTTATTACCCATGAGGGAATTATTGTGTAAAGAACAGAGCTCAAACATTGATAAAATGATTAAATTATTTTCATACAATAAATAACACACATATAACATGCTAACAAGGCAACATGTGAAACATGTACTTTTTCCAGGTATAAAAATTTATAATAAACAAAAGTAGCTCCATTCATGATTCTTGTGTGTTACCTATGACTTTTGATCAAAGTGATGAAACATATGTCATCTTCATCACTGTTTCTTCCTTTTTTTGAGATGACATTTTCCAGGTAATGTCAAAACTCAACTCACCCCCTCACTCAGTTTCAGGAGCAGCCTCTAACACTGTATCCTACGAGCCAGGCAAGGAGGTATGTACGGACTAACATTGACTAGATATTAGAATGATCTGTTGGGAATTCACATCCATAGTAATGAAGTGCATTATGTCTCCATTGTGTTTGGACCAATTCCCTGTAACCGTTGTTTGAGATGAATTTGATAAACACAATAAAATGTAAGTGCACTGATGTGCCTGTGGGGAGCCAGTGACTGGAGAAACAGATGGGGGCCGTCACGTCACAAACTTTGGTTGTGAATGGGTGATAATTGCCAGTAATTATTATAGAAGGAGATGTAATGCACAGGATAATCAAGCCTACCGAGGATGATGAATGAAACAGAACAGGTTTCAGAGAAGCAGGGTATACATTGTACGATATCTTTTAGGGCCCTGGAACAAAATCTCTTCAGTACTTTTTGTAGACTAGAAACAGTAACACCACCTGATGAATTCATAAATTTCCTGAAAATATTTTCACCCTCTATGACACATCTGTTCTGAATGTTTAGAATACCTTAAAGGGGGACTCCACAGTTTGTCAGGAAACACACAAGATCCTTTTGCCTGTGACAGGAGAATAACATTTAATGTACTTGCTCATGGAAACCATTGTGGTTTAGAAAGACACACAATCAATTGAAGTCAAGCCTTTTTGTCAGCTGAACCACTGTGTCTTGTCCTTTGATATTTATGATTCAAGGGGGAGAGTCCCCCTTTAATGCACTGGTTATGACCAAAGTACTGTTTCCCTCTCAACTGTCTACACCATGTATTCTCTGTTGTACTTTCCTGAAGGAGGAGGAAGAAACACCTGCTTTTACTGAGGTAGAGAGTTATCTCCCTTGTCAATACACAGTCTGGTTCTGTGCAAGCTTTCCACAATATTTATTTGCTTTTTTGTGTTGACAGCACAGAGCTTTTATGATTATTCAAGGGAATAGCATTCACAGCTTAGTAGTTTTATGTGTATTTCTGTTGTTTTTGTTTCATTTTTGATGCAAGTTTATATATGTTAGCGTGAATATGGAATATTTGTCACATTTCTATACATAATTGGTGTTGGAGAATTCTCAGTTTTTGCTCTCAAATGTGCACAGTGGCTAGTATTCATAGATGTTTCAGTTCACTCTGAAGAGTTGTGTACTTTGGGCTGGGATTTGAAGATTATTGGTTCGAATCCCACATTATGCATGATTAGGGGCCGTTCATAATTTATGGCTAGGGGTGATGATAATGATTTTTATGGAGAAGCATGTACAAGGTGAATGTCTTTCTCCCCCCTCCCCCCCCAAGATTTATGAACAAAGTAAGTGGACCCCCCTGCATGTCATGTACTCAATCAGTGGGGGGAACCCACCCCCCTCCCATAATTTTAAGCATAATTCTGTTCAATATATTTAGTACCCCTTAGTACATGTGTACAAAATTGATGACCCATCTTTCTAATTCAACAGCAAGCTGACAGGCAGTGATGTGTGTCAAGTGATGTGATTAAATTATTGTTCTAATTAGTATCTGACTCAATCACTTAAATTAAAAATCTTTTTTTAGTACCTTGGTTAAAAGCTGATGATGGTATTTCATAAATATATGTATGTAAAACTGTAAATATGGTATGTGATATTTCATAGATATGTTTAAGTTTAAGTAACAATATCCACAGTAGACATGTTTAAATGATTTAAGTGATGAAGTTTCTCCATCGTTTGTCAGACAGCTATGCTATTCATGCTATATGGTACATGGACTTGGCAGAGAATGTGCAGCCTTAGACAACATATCACTTGGATATAGACCACTCACTGTGTGTTGTGTTGTTCCCACCAGGGACCTGGCATTTATCATAGGATGGGATAGAGAATTGGATGGGGATTAGATGGGTGAGGGGTCAAGGTCAAGGTCGGCGTCAGGGTACAGAAGACAATGGATTTTTAGAAGCGGCTGGGCTTTGGTGTGTGGAGGGAATAAGTGAATGGGAATTGTGAGGTGAATAGTGTTTGGGTAAGGCAGAGACATTTAGGGGAAGGGGATTGGATCAGTAGATAGAGAATGGAGAGATAATCCTGATAAGGTGGATACAGAGGAGAATTCATCATTGTTGTTTTGTAAAAATGGGTAGAGAGAATAAGGACTGGGATGGATGAATATAGATGGAACTGGTAAGATTAAGGTTGGGTTTTCAGGTGAGAGAATGAGCATAAGAATAAAGCCAATCAGGAAAGGTTTTATTGACAATGGGGTTGGGATGACAACTGTGTGGTTAGATATTGATAAAACTATTCTTTGAAAATTATGTGGACATTGGGACGAGTGTGGCTGAAATGAAAAGCACATTGGGAGGGTCACAGAAAGTGTGTAGATGCCTCTATGATAAATGTCTGGTCCTGTATCTGCATGCTGTGCTGTTCCTCAATATTGTCAGCCATTTTTCTTGTGGGTCACATCACTGCTTATCTCCCCTTGTCGACATTATTCTGCATTTTCCACCATGTTGGTAAACACCTTTATATCTCATTAGATTTGAAGTGCATTTCTAATTTTGTTCAACCCATGTGACTCTTGTCATTTGTATTTGCAATTATCATCATTGAACCTATTTTCCAATCAGTATCAAATGTAGCCTCGTGATATAGCGAATGATTACTTCTATCCTGTGATGTACTTGATTCCCCTAAGAGGTGATTTGCCTCCACTGGATCAAAATCAAATTTGAAGAAAATTTGAATCCATAACAATAAACAAATACTGACTCTCAAGTACACAATGGGTTTCACAGATGGTTTCTAGAATACACAGTTTCAAATACAATGTATATGTGATCTCCAGTGAAACAATAAATGATTAATACTCATGCATAAATTGTAATGAAGGATCTTTCAAAATGAAACAATAGAGCCAGGATCTAACTGCAGAAGGTGGAGAGGGGCTGTCATCTTTTGGAGGAAATACATTTTGAATATTATCATATTTTATATAATGCTGAAAATGATATCTGCGCTTGATTTGCTGGCTAAATGATCTCACGATCCTGCGTACCAGTGCTTCAAATATATATAGAGACAAAAATTGTTCTGTTTGTTTGTTTGTTTTTAATTTATTATGATAGGAATTTGAAAGAACTGTGTTTGTTGGGTTTTTTCTTTTGTATGTAAGAATAGTTCTGACAGTTTCCATCAAAATTATCTCGAGAAACATATTGTAATGAGGCCTTTTTTAATCATGGTTCCTTTGATCTTTAACATTTGAAAGTGGGGGATGATTTTCTTTGATGTTTATACTCTCTGATCATACAAGATTATAATGATGGTAATCAATTATTTAGTATTTTGCAGAAGACTGTTCATAAGAGTGGCTAGAATTAGCTGAATAGAGTCAGTTGACTATTTCCACATATCCACATATTACAGCCACATTTGTTTTATTTACAGACTGTGCAAGTTGATGTAAGTATTGTGCATATTTCTATATTGTTACATAATATCTCATGTAGCTGGAAAGATTGATAGTCCTTCATTTGAAATAGTGTGTGAGTGATTGTGGTTTAACGCTGCTTATAGCAATATTCCAGAAGTATCACCTCGGGGAACACCAGAAATGGGCTTCATGTAATGTACTCATGGGGAATCGAACCTGGGTCTTCAGAATGACGAGTGAACGCTTTAACCATTGGGGTTCTGTTATTACGTGTTGCAACCCATGAAGGTCCGGGTTAGAATTGATCTTCAGTAAGCCATGCTTGTCATAAGAGGCAACTAACAGGATCGGGTGGTCAGGCTCGCTGACTTCGTTGACACATGTCATCATATCCCATTTGCATAGATTGATGTGCATGCTGTTGATCACTGGATTGTCTGGTCCAGATTTGATCATTTACAGACCGCGGCCATAGAGCTGGAATATTGCTGAGTGTGGTGTTAAATAACAAACCAACCAACCAACCAAAGAGGTGTTAAACTCTCTCTCTCGCTCTCGCTCTCTCTCTCTCGCTCCCACTCACTCACTATTGCCTATTACAGACATCACCAGGTGATGATGGCAAGCAAATGACAATGGATGAGTTCCAGTTGCTCCGTGTGATTGGAAGGGGGAGTTACGCCAAAGTGCTGCAGGTGGAACACAAGAGGAGCAAACGTATCTACGCCATGAAGGTCATAAAGAAGGAGTTGGTCAATGATGATGAGGTCAGTGAAGGTCAAGGACATAGGGGTGAGGTCACTGACATGAGGGTCTGTTTATTGAGGTCACAGACATGAAGGTCTGTTTATCGAGGTCACATGAGGTTAGGGACATAAAGATCTGTAGGTCAGAGTAAAGGACATGGGGATCTAGTGGGCTTTACCTTGACTCATGAACATGGAGGTCACGGGGAACCCCAATTATTAGTTTTAGTGGTCCTTGCAGGCAATATGAGGGTCCTGTGAAGTAACAGTGTAGAGAACTGTACTTTGTGATAATTTCTGTAGAGCCTGGAATGAATCATTGATCATGTGGACTGATGGATGAAATGATGCATGTAACTGCTCTGAAACACTTAGCAAAGTCATAGATGTGTTGTCAGGACACAATGAATTTTTTTTCTGTGTCCATTCTCTTCATTTGTGTGTACTGGACGAACATTTGCGCGTCATGTAAAACCCTGGATCTATATTGTGAGGTCACCAAAGGTCAAAGACACGAGAGACTGGACGGGTCAGGAACATGAGGGTCTGTATGGTTGGGGCAGGGCACAGTTGATAGGGACCAGGTTGGTGCCCATTATGGGACAATGCATGCAGGTTACCATCCTTGGAACACAATGAATCTGCTGTCTAGATGTATTTATGTAATGTTGCTGTCAACTCTCCTGGACAATTGAAAACCAGATGGTCTTGAAAATGTGTGCAATATTTTGTTTTCTTTCATATCTGTTGACCTCTGCTGTGATTTGTTGTAGGATATCGACTGGGTTCAGACAGAGAAACACGTGTTTGAAACTGCCACAAACTACCCCTTCCTTGTAGGACTTCATTCCTGCTTCCAGTCTCCCAGCAGGTAGGTGAAGGTCATTCTATCATGTAATACCATTCAGGAATATAGCTCCCATACAGTGACATAGACTAAGGCTCGGACAATTGCTTTGTAGTAAGGGACCCAGTTCCTCTACAGGAGTGTTTAAGCATAGGGAAGCTATATTTATTAGACTAGTTTCAGACTAGTGGTGGTGTGTGGTCCTGTGCATAGAGCCGGGGTCACAAATCAGTTGAAGTTAAGCAATGTTAGTCGCAGAGAGTCCTTGGATAGGTGACCGTATTTGGAAGCTTGACTCCTGAGAGTTTCTAGGACTTCAGTCCTGCCCCACAACGAAGCACACATGACACATGTGGTCTCACCTTAGGCAAGTGAGTTTATTCATGAATGGCCTCTGTTTACCCAGCAGTGAATGGGTACCCGGTGGGATGAGTCATATGGCTGCTAACTCTGTTTAGTTAAGCGGTCTTTACTTAGGTGGTTCCCACTGTATTTCCGTCTTATGTTTCCGTCAGAAAGAAGTGGATAGTCAAATATCAATAACATCAGACATGAGGAAACCTTTTTGTCATTTTTCTTGTAAATCAAGCTAGAAACTGAACAATGAAACCATAGGCGCCAAATGTCAATGTCTGGTCTCAAGATATGTCTTTGGCCAGTATGACATTTCTGTAATCAACTTTTTATTTTGCCCAGGCTGTTCTTTGTGATAGAGTTTGTCAATGGCGGTGACCTCATGTTCCACATGCAAAGACAGCGCCGTCTGCCAGAAGAACATGCCAGGTTCTATGGCGCCGAGATCTGTCTGGCACTGAACTACTTACATGAGAGAGGTAAAGATCATGTGACTGGATTATGAGTGAGGGGGATATTGTTTATCGTCACAGCTGCAAAATTTCAACTGCTGTTGTCAACAAGACAGCTACTGGATTAGGATCACTGCATGACACAGATTGTAGGTCCAGAACAAGAGTCACATCAGGAATCTGCACACTTTCCCATGAATCCCATGGCATCAAATTCTTCAAAGAACAATGTTTGTAGCATCATTAGTTAAATGAAGGATTTTTTGTAATTTCACCAAAATTGGTTTGTTTATGTATTGGTCATTCCATAAGGCTGCAATTCCCAGATTTAAAGTATGATTTTGCAAGCAGTGGAGATTTCTGCAAGGATATCTCTATCATGGCAGCGTTCAGTGGAAGTTGTTTTAAGTCTTTACTTAGATTCAGCTCCCAAAAGGGGTGGTGGGGTAGCCAAGTGGTTAAAGCGTTTGCTCGGGTTCGATTCCCCACATGGGTACAATGTGTGAAGCCCATTTCTGGTGTCTCCCGCCGTAATATTGCTGGAATATTGCTAAAAGCCATACTCACTCACTCAGCTCCAAAAATGGCTCCTGTTATGATATATTATTTTTCCTTGTCACAGTTTCACGTAAGTGGTAAATATCTGGTATCTGACTGGAAGTGACATAAATAAACCTCTTTTCAAAGGTGCATCTTGGAATTCTGGTTCAGATTAGTCCCACCCAACCAATGCTGGTCTTAAAGGTGACAAACTGTTTCATAGATCAGGCCGGGTGACTTGGTTAATGGAGTGTGGCTTGGATAATTGTTCACAATATCAGTCACTGGACTGCCTGTCAGTGAGTGAGTGAGTGAGTTTGGTTTTACGCCGCTTTTAGCAATATTCCAGCAATATCACGGCGGGGGACACCATAAATGAGCTTCACTAATTGCGCCCATGTGGGGATTCGAACCCGGGTCGTCAGCATGATGAGTCGACGCTTTAACCATTAGTCTACTCCTACCCCCGGATTGCCTGTCAGAAACTATTTATTATTCAACACAGTCAAATAGCTTGTTTATTGGTGACTGAGCTGAATCTTAGTAAAGGCTATTCTAAAATGTCAAATTCAATTCATCGCTAACTGGAACACACTGTGTATATGGGGCTATATGGGGGAGCCTAGTGGTTAAAGTACACACTCGTAATGTTGTAGACCTGGGCCCCATTTCACAAAGCTCTCGTAAGCCTAAGATCTCGTAACTTTTCTCGTAGCATTCGTAGCTCCTATGTTACAGTATAGAGGTACGAATGCTACGAGAAAAGTTACGAGATCTTAAGCTTACGAGACCTTTATGAAACGGGGCCCTGGGTTGGATTCCCGATACAGGTATAACGTTTGAAGTAAATTTCTCAAGTTTCCCACCATGATATTACTCGAATATTGTTAAATGTGGTGAAAAGCCATACTCACTTGCTGACTTCTGAATTCAGGGATAGTGTACCGAGATCTGAAGCTGGACAATGTGCTGCTAGATGCTGAAGGCCACATCAAACTGACTGACTACGGCATGTGCAAGGTATGTAGCAGACTTCTACCCCCTCCATCATGTCAGTTGTTGTATAAATATCTTTGTGTGCTAGGGCTGCCATTGAAATTCAAATTACTGACAGTCTTGGAATTAAGCGTGAAAGGCGTTCTTGTTATAACCTTTAAAGTTACAGATTTATACCTTTCATACAAAAACAGTAGAAGATCTTGAGTATCCATCCTCTAACAGAGATGCCAAGCTCTACAATTTTATCGTAGTTGCTATGAATTTTAGCCCCAAACTATGCCAATACGAATGCACTAGAAATTCTACGAAATTTGAAGAAATTTAATTAAAATTCGGATATATAGACAAAAACATATATTGACGTCGATTAAATACATTTTCGCCAAAAAGAGGAGAAGAAGAAATGTAATGCTCATGATTTGGAAATCTGCTGTTGGAGGTATGTGAAATTAAAGCTTCACTCTTGATAAGTGTCATATTATCTTTCTCAGATTCGATCATGATCTTAGGTATTTAGTTGACTATTAATTTTATGGTCAAACTACTAATTTTGATCCTTGAAACTATTATTTGCAACACTTTGGGTTTGGCATCCCTGCTCTAAATGTCTAGCACTGAATTTCTTGTTTCAAAAAAGGGAATATCATTGCAAGAATAATTATTGATATTTGATTGAAACACTATGCTGCTATACTATTCTTTTTGTATTGTTAGTTATGTATCTATGGCAGCCTTTAGCTTACATGAGAAAGTTAATTATATATTTAAATTTTATATTTGTTAAAAACAGAACATGAAAAACAAATGCTTTTAAAAGAGTTTGTCTTTTGATTTGTACTTGTAAACATTCAATAATATTTCTAAATTCATCAATGTCTGATACTATACTGTCTTGTGAGATATAGTGGTACTACATTCATGTAAATATGATGCCATGAAATAAAAGAATAATTGTTTGAGATATCTAGATATTCCGGCCAAAAATTATGCAATGATTATACTTGAATGTGTTGATTTCTTAAAGTTCATTAGAGAAATGTTTCATGTACCAATGCTGTTTCATCTGCATGAATGAATCATGTCATTGTCATTGTGCATTCAGTCCTGTAATCTAGTGTCTGTGTCATAGATCCATGTATTCTATAGGACCTAAACAGCATGGGTGCTTGTTGCACGAACACCATCAAGTCTATTGCAAGGTTGAGGTTAGGTACCCAGAATACTTAGAAACGCTACCCTGGTTACTAGCTTGGCTAACCGCCTCCGTGGTGTAGTCGTTAGAGCGTACGCCCGGAGAGCGGAAGGTCGCGGGTTCGATCCCCGCCCGCGTCATACCATAAGACGTTAAAATATGGTACTTGTTGGTCCCTGCCTGGCGCCCGGCATTAATGGGTACAACAAGGACTGGTCGGCTCGGGAGTCAGTATAGTGTGTCTAAGCGGGGTATTCATGCTTCACTGCGGCATGGTATCTCAGTGGGCTCGCACTATAAAACCAGCTTATGTCTGGGCTAGTACAAGCAGCAAACATACACATACACACGCATGCACGTCGTCATATGAGCGAAATATTCTCAAGCACGACGTTAAACCCAATCTCACCTCACCTCACCTCACTAGCTTGGCTGTCCTGGAGGGCATTATACCCCAATGATATGGATTGATGTAACCTTTGAAAGCCATTCCATGTTAAAATAAAGGTGATATCATGTTTGTGGTGCTAAGACTGCTGAAATAAGCCTTGGTACCACTCCATGCCCTTTAGTATGACTGGGGTGGTGGGGTAGCCCAGTGGTAAAGGTGTTTGCTCATCACGGCATATGCCGAGGTTCCATTCCCCACATGGGTACAATGTGTGAAGCCCATTTCTGGTGTCCCCTGCCCTGATATACATGAATATTGCTAAATGCAGCATAAAACCCACTCACTCACTTTGGTATATTTATCATTTAGAACTATGATAGGTGAAGTGCAAAGTAGCAAATGATAGAAAAGATATTCAATTTACATCTATCGTTTGTCTGTTATGAATAGTCTACACAATGGCCACAGTGCTTAAACTGCTGTCATGAACAAAACATTGGCAAGTATGACGTGTTTTGAGTTACAATTCTAAACCTATGGGATCGAGATAACAACAGTTTATGTTCAAGGATCCACTAGCAGTAGCAGCAGTCTGAATTTCATAAAGGCATGTGTTATGTGAGCCTTAGCACTAAAATGTGTTGTCAATAATGGTATGCACATAGAGAGAGCAACACTACTCTTCTACAACCCTGAGATTATCCCAGTGGGAGTTCCCCCATCTCATTAAAATCACAACCTTTACTCTCATATGATACCTCTGTGCAGGAAGATCTTCCATCAGAGTTTTGAATCAGTGTCATGGCCTCTATCACATTCAGGACAGGATATACGATCTTGAAAACAAACAAAATGATAAGTTCCAAAAGTTGAGGCTGCACCATTATGATGATTATTTTGTTGTGGATATTTTTGACAATGTGTCATTTCTTAGCACAATGGTATCTTCACCAAAATGGGAGTATTATTGAAGGAATATTGAAGTATTTTGCGGCTTTGTATTTGTCCAAATTTAAATTTGAAGTTCTTGGTGGTAATTAATGTCACCAGTTTGATTTAGAAAACCCACATCTTATTGGCTCAGAAACCCTTGTGAACTTCATTTAGATGGGTGGTGGGTAGCCTAGTGGTTAAAGCGTTTGCTTGTCATGCCTAAGACTTGAGATCAGGTTTGATGTTCCACATGGGTGAAATGTTTGAAGCCCTCTTCTGGTGTCCCCCCTGTGATATTATTGGAATAGTGCTACAAGTTGTACAAAGCCATACTCACTTTTGAGGATCGCATCAGAGTAGAATATGTGGTTTTAAATGAGATGGCGTTCCCCCATGCATGACATGTATGTGTTGATTCACTGACATTCTCACAACATCAGGAGGGGCTGGGCCCAGGAGATACCACAGGGACATTTTGCGGCACGCCAAACTATATTGCACCAGAAATACTACGAGGCGAGGAATATGGTACGTGTGTCCTGGGCGCGAAACATTCTCGTCTTTCATTTGATGCCTGGTTGATGGACGGGGTTGTCTGTATGAATAGAACAATTGAAGAATAACATTGTCAGGGTCTATATCTATGAAAATGCGGGAAGTTTGGATGTAATGAATTGCATGAACATTTGCTTTGCTGAAGTTTTCTGTCTGTCATCAGAGTTTTCACAAGTTGAATCATGAAGATTAATTAAGGTTAGAATTCAGTATGTGTCACATTATGAAAACATTCTGACAGCATCCTACCTGTTCTGGGCCTGATTATGACAGTTGTTCCCTCAGTATCACACATGTACTTGTGGGTCTCCATGTTGTAGTTCTGTCTATTTTGAATATTAGGTTTTTAAAGTTTAAAAATTGATAGCTATTGATAGTTAAAGATAGTACAGGAGGCTCAGAATCGTGATGCAATGTTGCAGCTATGATCGCAGTTCAGCTTCAGCTCAGTCTGTTTGCAACAACCCCACATGGGGTCGGTGGGGTAACCTAGTGGTTAAGGCGTTCACTCATCACACCGAAGACCCGGGTTCGATTCCCCACCTGGGTACAATGTGTGAAGCCCATTTCTGGTGTCCCTCGCGGTGATATTGCTGGAATATTGCTTAAAGTGGAGTAAAACTAAACTCACTCACTCACTACAACCCCATACAGGGGAATTTTTCTTTTTTTTTTTCTGGCATGACAGCTTCATTATGTCCAAAGTTTACTGCACGATAAACAGCTGAACAGTTGTTAGGACCAGTTCACTATTTTGCATTGCCTGATAATAGGTTTTGAGAAATGAATTCATACAGACAGCCCCTTCCTATGAATGCTTGTTGGTTCTTTGGTGGAGTTTAGATTGACTTGGGACATTTGTTATCTGCCTAGACTATATTTTCCTGACCAGTATTTAATTACTAATTATTTTGCAGGTACAAATCTATTTCATTTTAATCTAAACTCCATCAAAGTTATTAGATAGAATAACTTTCATTTCAGTCCATTTGCAGAAGGGGGTAACAGGTTGTGCACCCCTTCCATGGTAATGGCATCATCCATTATCAAGCAGCTGTCGTGTTTAGTTCGATGGCAAAGGTATTCAATGTGTGTTTTCTTGATTTTGCGTATCGTAGGAAGGATTGTGGCCGGGTGACCGGACTAACACATTCTGCGGAACTCCAAACTACATAGCACCGGAGGTTCTACGGGGAGAGGATTACGGTATTGAGAAATACTGTGTGATAAATAGTGTTCAGATTGTACAAAACTTGTTTGACAACTTCATATTTTTTTGGGGTTGTACTTGAGACATATGTACTAAACAGGTCGTCAATATTTTACAGGCCTGAACTATGTCCACCTAATTTTGAACCTGTCATCATCATTATAGACAGCCAACTTTATGGCCAGGCAAATTTAAATTACATCTATCGTTTTGAATTTTTCCTTTGAAATGTTTGACTGGAGGTAATATAATTAAATAATAAAATGAATATTCAAGGATATCAGTAATGCCAGCTAAATACTTTTGAATCAATTAATATTAAATCTATTATCAAAATTAGGTAATTAAGATCAGTTAATGCAATGTGTCATCAGAGTTTGTTATTTTGACTAACATCTATTTGTTTATTATATTTAGCTGGAAATTTACAGATCTAAAACCCCATTCTAATTTTACATTTTACATTTTTTGACAAGATTTCTTATCCAACAAAGTATTGCAGAATATTTAATACAGGACTCTTATTGGAAACAATTGTGAATCTGCAATTGAACATGTAATTGAATTTGTCTGGCCTTCTGGTAAAATTAAACCTAAAATCAAACATGAAACCACAAAATGAACCACAAGTTTTAAGAAAAAATTTGAAAAGACTTTGACTACTTGACAAATGGTGAAATTCTGACAACATGTCTTGAAGTTGTTAGACAAAGTAGAGTGAATGCAAAACCATTATCCAATCAGAATTAAGCTTGGTGTCAGCCATTCATATGCCTTGTTATTCCTGCTTGTTTCATCACATTTTTTGTCATCATTCCTATCTGAATAATGTTTCTATTAAACAAGAATGTGTAATTACTTGTAGCACTCTAGAACTGATACAGAATAATTTCTCTTTGTATACTAATGAAGCATGTTTTATTGTTTACACAACCTTTGTCTTTTTTAGAACTTCAAAATTTCAAAACAATTGAAAAGTAAATGGAAAGACTAATTTTTCCAAATTTTGATTGATGCAGTTTCCTAGTTTCATCTTTAATGTGTATACTGGCACCTTCATAACTGCTTTCTATAGGGGTGGCAAGGCAAGAGCATGTGATGTTTGACAGATGCAGCTGCCAAGTTGCATCTTTGATATGTTTATTGGTACCTTCAGAGAGTCTTCTTTGAGGATTGCCAGGCTGCAATATGTTCCTCCATGGTCATCATGTCTGTTAAGTATGGATAGTATATGTTCAAGGTGCCATATTTCTCTGTTCAGAGTTATGTCCCTTGGTCATTCCAGGATTTGCGGATTGTCGGTTTGAATTTCTGATTGGATTTCCGATCCTTGGTCCATCAGTGCTATACCAGTGCTCATAGGTTTTGTTATTCCACATTAGTATTAATGATAATACAGACAAATCTTATTACTCTGATTGTTTAAAGTCAGTCAAGAATGTTCTTGGCAGGTTTCCTTATTCTAGTGCTTCTTTGAATGATTAATGACAATGTTCCATCTTCTTACAGCTTTGGTAATGCTTAAAGTTTGAATCTGACACACGATTATTCCCTTGACAAGTGCATGTTGTCCAGTGATCTAATACATCATAATTCTGTGAAACAAGTTGCCTCCCTTTGTTGTGCTAGGATGTAAAGACCAAGCTTAGGTTTGATTTCCAGATTCACAGTTTAATTATGAAACTTTATGGTTTGTCAGCACCATACCTGTGCCCTGTGTCACAGAACAATTGTAATGCCACAATGTTCCTTATACCTACATTTTAACATAGACAGTGAGAGTGCTACACTTACTGAGACTGTTTATTTGTCCAAAATGGTACTAAGTCTTTTGGGGCCTTCTTCTTGAATCACCATGATAACTGTTGAAATCGACCATACTCACTCACAACTAATCTCTTGTGAATGTGACTATTGACTGTTAGGTGTTATGTAACACTCGTAGCATGTTGTCTTGAGGTGAAACCAAAGCACAAATAAAGCTGAATGTAATTTAGGTTAGTTTCTTTGATTTTTCTTGTTTGATTGCAAATGGTATGGAAAGAAATGTATGGTTATTCCTTGAGCAAATTGTCCAGTATCCATGCTTGTCACGAGAGTTGACTAATCACTATTGGATGGTGCATGACCTGTGCCCACTGATTGTTGGTCATGCCATCAATCACTAGTTGGCAACCTGTTTCTGATAATGTCTGTGTTAATATCACAATATATACAGTGACTCAGCCCCCAGTTGAAGATTGAGTAAAGTAAAAGTTTAAGTCTCAAAATGTAATCAAGTAAATGGCTATTAACAGGCAGCTACTTTAGCCACAAGTTCATTGCCCCTGGTCGGCAACCTATGTTATTGTTTCTGTAATGTCACAATTATTACAGTCACAGCCACTAATCTTAAGAGTGAGTAAAGTTAAGTCTCATAATGTAATCTAATAAAAGTCAATTTTAAATTTAAATTTTGTTTAGTCTCATAATTTAATCCAATGGGCCACATAATGGCAGCTACTTTAGCCATATGTTCAAAGCCTGTGTCTAGCACAGTTCTGTTTGGTCTACAAAGCTCAGCTAATGATTGTCCATTTAGAATATACATGTGACCAAAATCTACTAAAACTGATTCAGAGATCCAACTTTTGTCTTAAAGAGTTTTTGCATAGCTGAAATATTGCTGACAATACAACACTGCAATCACTCACTCACTCTCTGTTTAGTTATGTGTCATCAAATATGTTTTTGCATCTGGATACATTAAGATCCTTTGTACCTTCAAATTTGTGCTAGAAGGATTCCTGTTAGTGATGTCAGCTACTGCAGCCTTCCTGTGAAATGTTTGTAATTATCATTCATCAAATGCTTTTTCCATCCTGCTTATGTTCAAGGCACAGCATTTTACCATCTTAGCACATTTCGTTTTTATTATATATTTATGACTTTATTTTATGATTCATTCCTGTGGCAAAATAAGACACTAAGAATAAATCCATTGTTTTAGCATTGGATGATTTGGTGATTGCATGGTTAGAATTAATAATACTTGTGATGCTAGAAGGCCAACTCTCACTGATAACAGAAACCAATTTGAGTTAAGTTTGCACTCACTCATGACCCGAGATCTCTTTGAAGGTCTGGGTTTGTTCTCTACATGTGTTCAATGAATGAAGCCCCAGAGGTATAGATAAGCTGCGTATCTGCGTATATTACGCAAATATTTTTGTGAAAACTCAATTCCTATTAAGTCTATTGCGTACAAATACGCTTGTACTTTTGTACATACTCAATAAACTTGATCTTACATGTGTACACACAAAAATCTGATAGAGATTACTGAGGACAGATCAAATAACTGAGGTATATTGAGAGATTCTATTTCCACACATGACTTGCAGTCTTTCTTATTGTTTCTCATATTAGAGATCAAATACAAGTACAAGCACGTAAACGAACATTTAAGCTTTGTTATATTTTTACAATAAATTGAAAATGGCAAAATACCCAATTGAGTTTGAATGTGATGTATTCAATTTATTTGTTTACTCAAAGGAAAATTAGGATACCCAATTGAGATGAACACAAGTGAGTACATAACTCAATGACCCAAAAAGTTATCTGTAGCTCTGAAGCCCTCTGGCAGACCATGGTTGATTTAGTTTCATTGTCCCTCACCATGCTTACTGATTACTGATCCAGGAGTGATATTACTCAGTGTTATAGCTCGACTCATGGTCTTGGAAAATGGACAAAACTATCAGCTGACAGTCACCCAAAACTAACTGTGTCATTTCATGTTGTCTCATTACAAATGAACTCTTGCTATTTGTTGAAATGTTTCATGCAGTTAGAAAAGGTCCCCTACAACCGATATTGGTCACAAGAGGCACTGATGGTCAGTCTTAATGATGTGGTTGATAGCATATAATGTTGGGACCAAACAATCCAGTGATTGATATTATGTGCAAGGTCCCATCCTTGGAGTTACAAAGACATACAGGGTGGTGGGGTACCCAGGTGGTTAAGGCGTTTGTTCATCACTCAGAATACCCAGGTTTGATTCCCCACACGGATATAATGTGTGAAGCCCATTTCTGGTATCCTCCGCCATGGTATTGCTGGAATATTGCTAAAAGCGGTGTAAAACCAAACTCACTCACAAAGACAAAGAACCAAGTCACCTCTTGTGACCAGCTTGTGTTGACAGGGACCAGTTCTAACCCAGAATCTCCTATGAGTGGACATAGTTACAATAGTTCTAACATGTTGCTCTGTGTGGCTGTTACAGATTTCAGTGTAGATTGGTGGGCTCTAGGAGTCTTGATGTTTGAGATGTTAGCAGGACGATCGCCATTTGATGTTGTCGGTAATGCTGACAACCCTGACCAGAATACAGAGGACTACTTATTCCAGAGTGAGGCTTTCACCTTCACCTTTCTTCCGATTTTGATCTCCATGTTTGTCATATCAATTTGACATGTCCTTTGTGATGACTTCATTTCAAAATGAGGCCATTTGTTTTAGATACTTGTTTTCAGTGTGAGGAGGTTTGCCTGAAATATATTCCCACATTTTTGTAGTTAAGCATGCAGATTGTCAGTTCAATAAAAACTTGTAAATTAAAATATTTTGAAACAGTTACATAATGCTATATTTACAGATAAAAATAGTTTCTTTATTAATTCAACATATGGCATTCTGTGTTTACAGAAACAAGGAGTTTCTTTATCAAATATGTATTTCAAACTATATTTACAGACTTAAAGCATCCTTGCCTTCTTTTGTGGCTGTGAATTACGTGTTGTATGTTTTCAGTTATTCTTGAGAAGACAATCAGAATCCCTCGCTCCCTGTCAGTGAAGGCTGCATCTGTCCTGAAGGGATTCCTTAACAAGGTATGAATGTTATCTACATTGCATTAAAAAACAAGATGTTGTTATCACATTTCCAGAGCACTCTCTTGGTATGTTTAAAATGTCCCTGTTTTTTTCAATCATAATGATATGTGTTTAAACTCACTATGAACTGGGGGCGGTGGGGACAGTGGGGTAGCCTTGTGGTTAAAGTGTTCGCTCATCACGCCGATCACGCCGAAGGCACGGGTATATTCCCCACATGGGTACAATATGTGAAGTCCATTTCTGGTGTTTCCCCGCCGAGATATTGCTGGAATATTGCTAAAAGCGGCATAAAACCATACTCACTCACTCACTCACTATGAACTAAATTCATGTCTCCTTGTGAATATGTGAATAATTGTAAGAGGGTCATGATCTACACTATGTATGCTAAAACAAAACATTGATGTGTCATCAGACCAGAAATTTGATTCACGTCTATAGAGTTTCATAAACAGTAGCACATTGAGTGAGTGAGTGAGTGAGTGAGTTTAGTTTTACGCTGTACTCAGCAGTATGCCAGCTGTATGGCGGCCGTCTGTAAATAATTGAGTCTGGACCATGAGCATCGATCTGCGCATTTGGGAACCGATGACATGTGTCAACCAAGTCAGCAAGCCTGACCACCCGATCCTGTTAGTCGCCTCTTACGACAAGCATGGGTTACTGAAGATCAATTCTAACCCAGACCTTCACGGGTGTAACACATTGAGAAAATAGCAGGCATGGATTGTAAATTCAGCTGTATCTTTAAGGGGATTATGAATTGAATACAATGTCTTCGTGAAACTGTCATAAAGCATGTCGTTGGGACATCCTGACAAGGTCATATGGGCCAGGAAGTCATAGCACTAAGACCCTTAGATGACATTGATGCATAGATACAGTAACACATTGAGAAAATAGTTGACAGGGATTGTAAATTTGTCATGATCTATAGAGAGGATTGTTACGGGAATATGATGTCTGCGTGAGTCAGTCATTATACATGTTGCTTGGTCATCCTGACAAGGTTGTATTGGTTAGAAAGTTGTAGCACTAACAGGCTTATGTGACATGGATGCCTAGCTTCAAACATGAATATTCTTGATATTATGTTCCTCTAGAATCACAACAACAGAATAACAACAGAGTTTCAACAGTAACACATTGAGAACATAGCAGACATGGATTGTAAATTCATCCTTATCTTTATAGGGGATTATGAAAGGAATACGATTATGAACGGACATAAAACATGTCGCAAGGACGTCCTCGTAAGGACATCCTTGTAAGGTGATATCGGAAGTCAGCACTAAGAGGCTTATGTAACATGGATGCCTAGCTTTAAACATGGGATGATCAGGAAACATTCCATTCTTGATATTTTGTTACTTCAGAGCCCAAAGGAACGGCTCGGGTGCCACCCCCAGACCGGGTTTGCAGACATCCAGTCTCATCCATTCTTCCGTTCCATTGACTGGGACATGATGGAAAGGAAGCAGATTGCTCCCCCGTACAAACCTGTCATCAAGTCGGACCGGGACCTGGAACACTTCGACCCTGCCTTCACCAACGAGCCTGTTCAACTCACACCCGATGACCCGTGAGTTGAGGCGATTAATTACTGACAGGGTTTGAATGGGTTAGGTAGCCTAGAGGCTTGAGCTGGCTATTGATGCAGATCATAGACACTGATAATCATTAACTACATATTGATCTGTTATTGATGCATATATCAGAGAAGTAACATTGAGCAGAAATGCAAAACTGTCCAAAAGAAAGTCACATGGCTGGTGAGCTGAAATATTTTTATTTGGATTACTTACAAAACTGCACTCACTCAGTAGATGGTATGAATATTTGATCAAAGAAATAACAGCAGATTTACATTTGATAATGGTGTAAGAATCCACACTGAAACATTGCTCTATGCAATAAACAAGGCGGTGAAGTAGCCTAGTGGTTAAAGCGATCGCTGGTCATGCAGAAGACACAGGTTCGATTCCCCACATGGGTACAATGTGTGAAGCCCATTTCTGGTGTTCCCTGCTCTGATATTGCTTGAATATTGCTGAAAGCGGCATAAACCCCTTCTTACTTATCATGCACTCATTTATTCACTCTGTGCAATAAACAAGAATTTGTTATCCATAAAGTTGTATGCTATATTATTGTCTCACCGACTTCGGGAATGCCAATCAAACAAAGATCCAGAGTCCATTATCATCATCATAATCAGTAATGTTTCTGAATAAGTATTTTTATAGTAAAACCTTTTTTTAATTTTCAGAAAAGTGATTGACAAGATTGATCAATCGGAGTTTGACGGCTTTGAGTATGTGAATCCATTGTTGATGTCTATGGAGGACTGTGTGTAGACTAGGTGGCGCTGTCATATATACCGAGCATTCCGATTGGATGTTGAAGCTGCTTCCTAGTGGTTGATGTAAAGGCTGTGTGTGGATAATCCTGGAGGAATTTGATGTACTGCTTTGAGAAGAAACTTTATTAAGTGTGATCAATGCGATATCAAGTGTTGTAAATGTCGTGTTGAGAATCTATGAACAGGATATCTGGTGTCATCATTGTGATATTGATGCTCTCATTATAATAACAGTATGTATCACCATTTAGACTTACAGGTGATATGGGTACAATAACTTGATATCAGGATGACAACAGTTAAACACTGATAACATGATATCAATTGCCATCAAATAATATCAGGTTGATGTGTATCACTGAGATGTGGCAATGATATCATTTACAGATTGTATCATTAACATGGCGTTACCATGATGTTAACATACTTTTGGAGCCATGTCAAACAGCGATCAAGACATCAACATGATGTGATATCAGCTTCTATTTGCGTGATATCACCAGCCCCTACTGATGACCTGAACAAGTTATTTCCTACCACAATGGCGCACAATAACATTTCACTGAAACTGTAGTGTTTGCGACGTACATGGAGAGGCAAGCAGCCTGTTATGTTGCTGTGTCATTGAAAAAAATGTCTTGCAGTGCAATTCTTTACACTGTATATGTAGCTTTTGTGGCTTTAAGCTACATATACAATCATTCACAAATCACCCACTTTGTAATTATATTTGTTTATCCAATCCTTCGAGTCTCTGAACAAGGTGAAAGGACTACATGAAGACAACAAACTGATGCATTATATCATTAGATTTTCAGTTAAATTTCAGAATGAATATGTTATACAAAGCTAGATTTTGCAACTTTCTTAGATGAAAGATATGTATATGTACAAATATATGAAATATTTAATTCAGGGGGATGGAAATCATTTGTAGTATTCTTGGTTACCTTTTATTAAAACCATTTCTCAAACCAAACTTCCTGAGTAGATTGGTGATGTGATGTGAAACAGTACCACACAGATGGGTTTGGAGGGGCACAGGTGGCTGAGTCGGTACAGATGCCACAGTATCCTCAGTTGTGTCCCTTAGCAGTATCAGGTTCTGGGGTCTTGAAATTCCAGGTTTGCCACAAGTTTTTGGTCATTGTTCTCTCAGCACTATTGAAGAGTTCTCTGGGATCAGAGCCAAAGCTAGAGTCAATGTGTGCACTCTACATATTCAGTACTGACACCAAGTGACACCAAGTTGATATGTGGCTTGTGGAGAAATGTCTTTTGTTCAGAGTTGTTTCAAGTAGTATCAAGTTTAAGTATCCTGTGTTTGATTTGCCAGTCTGTGGAATGTCAGCACCATGCCGGTGCTAATGCTCACAGAAGTGTCTGATCTGATTCTTTGGATGTTCCATGTCTATTATCATAATCAAATGGGACAACTGCTGTACTGTTCAATAAAGCATATAACCAAGGGTGACCCAATCACTTCCCACAGAGGTTACTTGTCATATCTTCCTACAAACCTCTGTTGTAATACGGCTATATTTCCCGGTTCTCGTAAAATCCCCTAGCGGCAAAAAATCGCAACACGAATGATCTCCCTTCTTTCTATCCAATCAGAACATATGTTACATAGACTTAGATCCAACTTGACTAATGCAAGCAATTATGGGGCCACAAATATCCCTCCTCTGCGGGGGACTTGTGTTGATGTGACACACAGGACATTTAATCATTTAATGGCTAGCTTGTCCATTGTCAACGAGAGGCGATGGAGATGCCATTGATCCTCCATTATATGACAGAGTTCTGTCTAGAAGAAATGTTTGCGCATCGCGCAGGGGAAGAGGTTCTAGTTTTCCTGAAGCATACGGAAATTACCGAGGCCTTGCGAATGATCATTTTTGAAATAACGTCGCTGATTGCACAACTAAATCTGATTGCAACCAATCACGAATCCTGAACACTCGCACCATGAAAGGGCCGTATTAGAACAGATGTTCGTAGGAAGATATGACAAGTAACCTCTGTGGGAAGAGAATGAGGGTGACCTTGGAAGACCAACTCTCCACTGTGACCTCACCCTGAAGGGTTTCATTAGTTGTCACAACACTGACCACGGGTTTGTCCAGTCCAGAATACGTCACTGGCTGACATGGTTTCACTGCCTGTTGTCATAATCTCATTTATTCACTCGGGCGGTGGGGTAGCCTAGTGGTTAAAGCGTTGGCTCATCACCCGAAGACCCAGGTTCGAATCCCCACATGGGTACAATGTGTGAAGCCCATTTCTGGTGTCCCCCGCCGTGATGTTGCTGGAATATTGCTAAAAGCGGCGTAAAACCAAACTCAGTCAGTCAGTCATGTATTCACTCCTCAAACTGGGCTTGTTAGGAAGATCAGAAGCTAAAGCATTTGCTTATCACATTGAAGGCACAGGTTCAATTACCTTCATGGGTACAACGTGTAAAAATCATGTCTGGTGTCCCAACTGTGATACTGACTGGATACCACTAAAAAATGATGTGACATCATACTCACTCACTCACTTCTCAATCAGGTCACAGCTAGTCCCAATGTGTAAGAATACTCATTCATTTTATTGAAGGCTTAAGAGGAGTCATGGTATCAAGGGGTTGTAATATGTCAGTAGGGTGTTGAAGGGCTGTATAATACAGGAGTACTATTATGAAAGGTTTTGCAGTATTTTTTCAAGTTTCATATTGTTTTACCTTAGATGAAGGGTGTTTGGTATTGACAATGAGCTGTGTGCAAGAGGACCAAATGTGGAGAACACTTGACTATATCTGATTGTGTATGGCATCAAGATACCAAGTTGGGAACTTCCATTGTTTTATTTTGTAGATTCCGTTTCAGTATGATGTCAGTCATTTTACTTTTGTAGATAATAAAATATCTGCCTTATTACTTTGCTGCTTTTGTAGAAATTTGAGCCACTTTGTTTCAGTTAGAATCTCAAGTTTGTACATATGACGTGTTAAAAAATTACTTCTTGAATGAATATTTTTATGTATGTCGCAATGTATGCAGGATGTTTTGATGGAATTTCAGTGGTTGAAGATGTTTAACAGTTTGGACTGATTATCACTATGGCAACTGATAATTAATATGTTCCTGAAAATGAAATTACTATTATTTGCATTCTTAAACGCGGTGGCCAACTGGTTAAAGCGTTGACTTGTCACCCCGAAGACCCGGGTTCCATTCCCCTCATGGGTACTATGTGTGAAGCCCATTTCTGGTCTCCCCTGCTGTGATATTGCTGGAATATTGATAAAGTGGCTTTAAACCATACTCACTCACTCACTCTTAAACATACTATGTGATAAGTTTAGGAATGTGTTTGATAGAGAAATATGAAAAATGAGCTTGATATTGTAACTAATAATAAAGAAGTTGTATAAAATCATGAATTAAAAGACTGTGACCATATGTGTGGGTTATGTGGAATAAGTGAGTATTTTATGTTAGAGCAACAAATATACACATATCTGTCATTTGAAGATGAGCTGAACAGGTTAAAGTATCACCCCAAGCTGTGACTGTTTGTAGCTGAGAGATCACAACAGTAAGAATCCAGTAAATGACGGACAAAGGCCTACAACAAGACATGGCAATGTAAATACACAGTGCTGGAATCTTTACTGAAAAGTTTAATCCCAAATATAACATATGTAGGACATGTTAAATCGCAATGTGGGGCAGTGGGATAGCCTAATGGTTAAAGCATTCGTTCATTACGCTGAAGACCTGAGTTCGATTCCCCACATGGATACAATGTGTGAAGCCCATTTCTGGTGTTCCCTGCCGTGATATTGCTGGAATATTGCTAAAAGCCGCATAAAACAAAACTCACTTACTGTTATGCTTTATAACCACAACTTTGTATTTGCATGTTTCACTGATTTCTATATTCAGTATAGTGCTATAGGTATTAAGTGTACATAGTTTTAGTATGAAAGTACTAACAAAACTTTGATATGGTATTAACACTGATATTTGTACTGTATTGAGCCATTCCATTACCAAAATTAAAAAGATGTTGACAATATGTTTGGGATTTAAATGAATTTGAAAAAGCCCAAGATTGAAATATTTGTACTCATTCCTGAATCTGACTTCTCTGACTGAGGAAAACATACAAGTAATATATAATTCATGATGTCATACTGATACCGATAATTTCAGCTCTACACAAAGTCACACCAATGTAAATTATGACAGCCAAGAGCTAATGTCGCTCTTGGGAACAGCTAGAGTTATCTGCCCATTTCTGTAGAATACATTTCTTGTCTTCCAGACTTCCATTACGATGTTGCATCCAATAACTTCCCCTTGTCATGGGTTCGATTCTCGGATTAATCTGATTATGATCTGTCTGTACCACCCATGCTGACTCTTTTTGTGTGAGTGTCAGAGAAATGTTCTATGACACAAAGATCTGTCTATCACTGAACTACTTTAAGGGGAGAGGTGGAGCATCTGTAACTGGATTATGAGATTCAAAAACACTGTAAAAGCAGTATGTCATCTTTCTGGAAACCACTGCAATAAAATGATGATTTTTCACTACTTATTAAACCAGATCATAGGCGGATCGAGAGGGGGGATGCAGGGGTGTGCACTTTGTCCTGAAAGTTTAATAAATGAACATTGAAATCCTCGTGAAAATGAAGTGTGCACACCCTCTTTCTCAAAAAGCTGTATCCGCCCCTGCATGACCCTGCCCAAATACTGATCAACATCCACAATAATGACTGTTACTGGATTGAGACAATACTGAGCAAGCATCATCACCATTTTGGTGCTTCTGGCTTTCATCGTGGTTTTGTTTCTAAGACTGGTTGGTACAATATTGATCAACGTTCTAATTCCCGCAATCCTATTCAGTGGAAAACTATACTCTCTCTTTTGGCTATTAGGACACCTGTAGATATTTGTGATAACTTTAAGCTTCCTGAAACCATATTCTCTTCAAATGCTGGTACTGCTTACAAATTCAAGCCCTCAAAATTGATCAAAAATATATTAAAATGGAGATCTGTTCTGTTTTATCGTTTTCACTAAGTTATTTTAAACTCATTGTAGTATAGCCACACATAACACCAATCATCAATATTCTCTTCAACCAATATTTCATTACATTGTCAACATTTACTTGCGTTGTGACTTTTTTGACATATCTTGCTTTGGTTTGATGTTTTAACATATTGTATCTATTTTTGTAGCCTGTATATGTATATATTTTAGTTTTATTAAGTATCTTGCTAGTTGCCCTATGTATTACAGGGCATAGAAGTTTTTGAATGTAAATATCCCTTTTCTGAATCATAAGTTCATTTGAAAGAACTTATTTGAGTTGCTGTGCTGTCATATTCATGTTTAGCTTTGACCATGAAATGTTACAAAATTGTTTCTCAACATGTAAATCTGTTATATGCATGTTATTGTACTTAAAGGTGATCAATAGATTTGGGTAGAAATCAGGTTTGAATGTTAATGTTCAGATAGTCAGGAAAGTAAATGGAAAGGTTATCTTAGCTTACTTTAAATGTCCTGCAAGAGAAGTTGAAAATTCTTTTCACAGAAATGCATATAATGAACTTGGTTGTCATTTTGACTGTTTGCTTGTGATGAATAAATTTTTTTTTACTCCATCTTGGAGATAGAATATGGTCTGGAGGGCCTCGTGTGAGTTTAAACCCAGGGTTTGCTGCAACTGTAAAGGATTTCAGATCCAGGTCAGATTCAGGGTAACATTTACTCTTTTACCCTCAAGCTTAAGGATTTTGTTTGTCAGCAGAGTAGGAAGTGTATGTCACTTGATAAGTGATAAATAAGTACAATATGTGAGGTTAGTAATTGTTATGAAGTGTAAGATATTTCCACAAGGGAGCAACACCTTGATGTTCAGTTTGTTTGTTGCCATTGTTTTGCAAACTTTATAATAATGTCATGTCAT